CGCCAGAACGCGCTCGAGGCCCGCGTCGAGAGCCAGCAAGAGGCGGTCGACATGGTCCTCCGCCACCGTCGCGCCCACAACAACAACAACAACAACAGCAGCAGCAGCGGCACCACCACCGCCGACGGCGACGACGACGACGAAGACGACGTCATGGACGCGGTGCTCGCGCGCCTCGAGCGGCTTGGCGAGCTGCGCCAGGAGGCCGAGCGCGCCAGCATCAGGCGCACCGAGGAGGAGCGAGAGGAGCGGGTCGACGAGCTGGACGAGAGCCTTGAGGCGGTGGACAAGGAGACCAAGGCGACGAGGAAGATGGTAGACGATCTGGTGAGGCAGTTTCGCCGGATGTGCACTTGGCAGATTGCGCGGAATGAGGGGGATTTGACGGTGGAGGAGGTACGTGATCGTCTCGTTTGTTGTTTTGGTGGGATGTGTTTTGCTAACTGGGTTTTGGTGCAGTGGAATGATCGTCTGTGGGAGCTCGAGTTGTACTGAAGCTCCAAGAGTCGTCTGGTGATATACGGGTGGAATGTGGATTTTGGTGTCTGGTTGGTGCTCTGTTGGGATGGGATTTGATGGTCATTATACCCCTGGGAACGTGAATCGTGGAGTTCGGTTGGTTTGTTTTGAGGGTTCGGGAGTTCATTCGGGACCAGGAAACCATCGCATATTCACATATAACAACCTGCTGAGACTCGCTACCCGTGCTGCGCGACTCGGTAATCTGTCTGCCCTATGTTGTCTGTTCCGTGGTGTTTTGTTGCGCCTGTTCGTTTGGTGGGCTGGGCCAGTTTCTCAACACTTGAATGCTTTCCCATTTTCTCAACCCACGCCCAGATTCTCCCCCTCCTCCCCCAGGAGTCTGCCGTTTCTGCAGAAATCATCCATCGCTGACGCTAATATTCTACTCCATGACCTACCAAGAATCTCAAACTTTTCCAGGCAACAAGTTCGCCGCACACCTTAATTATCTTCGGTCCCAAGCTGGAGGCGAGTGAAGGCCCCCCCCCACCACCTTCACCCCCTTGCTATCGCGGTTCTGGTTGTTATCCGGCGCGGTTTGACTCGTTGACCTGCCCCGCTTTGGCTCTTTCTTCACTGTGGGACACTGTGTGAATCACTCGCCCAGTTCTGGTCTTCAAGCTCACAGAATTCCCTTCTTCTCCCAGCTTCTTTTTTCCAATTTCTCAGACAACCAAAACTTGAGAAGCGACTTCGCCCACACCATCTCCCGGTTCTTTACTTTCGATCGACCAACCGACAATTCCCACCCCATTCCCTCTTTTCCATCCTTCTTCGACGTCTTGCATCCACCGCATCGCGAATCGCGATGACCAATTCCAAGTTCAACAAGAAACAGCGCGCCAAGTTGCGCGCTGTCGCGGCGGAACGGGCCGCGCGCGAGAACGACGGCAACCACCACCAGGTCGACGTCGTCGCTGCCTCCCAGAGCATGGATGTCGACGCTCCTCCGCAGACATCGACCACCATGGTAAGTCCATCAAGCAAACACACTCTCATCTTGATGTGTCCACCCACAGAAATGCCTCCGTCGCCCCACAGACAGTCGTCAGTACTGGCAATGACGCTTGTTCGGGCATCTCTTTAGGCGGCAGAAGGCGCAAAAGGTCGGCCACATGGTATCCTTTGGCCGTCTGTTTCCCAAAGAGGTGTCAGGACTGGCATTATTGTTGGTGTCCAGCTGCGGCCGTTTGTGGAGCGACAGGACATGCTGCCACCAAGGTTACCGGGGCATAAAATCGCAGCCTATTCCCATCCTCCAGCGAGGCATCATTGCCCATCTCTGTCGCTGGACTTGGACCTGCTGCGCCAAGTCCGGTTCGACCGTGGGTTGTCACACTGGGGGCAAGGGCTGCCTGAGGGGCTTGAGCTCTGCTTGTCTTCACGGTTCAGGGGAGCAAAACAGCCAGGCTCTGCAGGCTGAGTCGTTCCAAGCTCGTCGGTTCGGGCTCAGCTTGCAATCCTAACCTCAGTTGTCACTGGGAACGATCTCCAACTTACTGGCTGGCCGACGGTCATGGCTTGGGGAAGCATGGCCGGGCTGGGTTGACAGGCACTTGCGGCTTAGACGGCGTACAGCTGAGGAGATGGGAGATTAGCTCCCTCTCTAGGTTGGAGATGCAGCAGTCCATACCCTGGCACTTTCTGGCGGATGACTTACTCAGTTTTGGTTCTCAATGCTGACTGGATTTTAGGTTGCAGATACCGCCGACGACTAAACGGCCACTCTGGATGGCGACGTGGGCCCCCTCAACATGCGCGAAGTCGCCGATGCCCTGGACGCCGCGGTGAACGACACCTCGGATCACAATCTCAACGCCCTGATGAAGGCGTCAAACTTCGATGTCCGCTCCCTGGCTACCTTGGCTATCGACGACCGAAACACCCCCAAGTCAGCTGCCCTTCTCTTGAACACTGCAATGATGCTGTCCGAAAGCAGGGCCACCGAGGCGGAGACCAAGGCCACCAAAGCCGAGAACAAAGCCGCTGAAGCCCAGCGCCGCGCCAGGACGGCCGAGAACAACAGCGACGGAGTCCTGCTGCGCAATCACGAACACACTCACACCCTGGTCAGCCAGCGGTCGCAGCTCGGAGAGCTGGAGCATCGCGTCGCCGCGCTCGAGAGCCTCCCACTCGTCACCTCATCTTCCGACGACGCGGGCGGCGACGGCTGTGGGGCCATGGCGCTCCGTCGGGCGCTGGCGGCAACAAATGCCCGCCTGCAGATTGTGGAGCAGCAGCTAGAGAGGCTGATGGAGCGCTGCGGAGATATTTGAACATGCGACGGCGACTCACAGAACACGGTGATCAGGTTGGAGTTGGAGTCATTCTGGAGTGATACCCCAGGTTACACGGCGTTATCCATAATGTTTTTAGACAAGGCACTTTGTGAGGAACGAAAATAGATCTTTGACGTTGTCTTGCAAGTGGGAGGAGCAACTTTGCTTTCTTTTTGGTGGCTCTTAAAGAAGAAGTCAGTCAAATGTCTGGTAAACAAAACAACAAACCGGTCAATAAAACAAAGAAAAATGGAAAGCAAGAAGAAAAGCAAGAAAGCAACAAGAGACGAGGAAAACAAAAGGAATAAAAAGAATGCAACAGGAAGAAGAAAAAAATAAAGGGAAGAAAGGGAAAGGGGGAGGAAGAAGAAAGCCAGAAGACAGTGTAAAGTTTGTTGCTGCTCCTGTTGATCTATTAGGTGGCAGGGAGTGACGATGGGATATCCATTTGTTGGCGGCAGTAATTTTCATTGTTTGTGCCCCCCAGCCTCGAGGTCGTTCTTGATACAACGTCAGAGAATCAGCTGTTGAGCAATCCGGGTGTTGAATAAGGTAGGGTAGGTTCAACTGTCCTGGCAAGCCAGGTCGGATTTCTGTGTGTCTTTGACTGCCGGCTGGCGTGCCTTTGCCTGCAAGCGCTCAAACACGGCAGCAAGCTTCAGCTGGTACCACATCCAAACAGAGCCGATAAAGGTGCACCAATCAAGGGCAAACACACGAAGATGACCTGCATGTCTGCCTAGAGGGTAACATTTGAGCCTCCAGACCTCAACTCCTTCAAACCTTCTTCTATTCCAACAAAAACTGACACCCCAGAAACTTCCCCTCTCCCTACAAAAGCCAACCACAGCGATGCAGTGCACCACCACCACCCCCTACAACCCCTACTCAGCCCTCCCCGGCGCGCGCCAAACAAACGAACCGATCCCGCACTTCCTCCAGCGCCTGCCCCCGGCCACCGCCGCCTTATCAACCCCCCGCCACCTGCTCCCGCCATGGTTCTGGATCGCCAACCCCCACCGCAGCGGCTACCCCGACGGCCGAGCCACCACCGGTGACGTCAACTCCTTTACCCGCGACGGCCTCGCCCTGCTTACCGAGTTCCGACAGGCCGTGGCGCAGTGCGCGCGCAACGACCCCCTCCGCACACAGCTACGGGAGGTGCTCAGGGGGGAGATTGGGGCGGTGGCGAAGCGGTGGGGGGTTACGGCTGGGAAGGTATGTTTATCCAATTTTCTTCTTCTTCTTCTCCATATTGAAACGATGGTTATGGTGGGTGCTAACTAACGAACCCAGTGGATGCTCTTCCCGCAGGTGCATGAGGTCGATGAGGTGTGGCGGGTGGTGTGCGAGGGCGTGGACGTGGGCCGGCTCGGGACCGGCGCGAAGGTGGCGACGACGTGTCAGGAGGGGGATCCGGCGCGGCTGATTTGCGTGTACACCAAGGACTTTACCGATCTGGAGGATGTGAGGAGGGTCTTGCTGGCGCTGGTGGATATGGGGCTTGTTAGGGCGGACATGCCGCGCGGCATCATGTACAAGTGTGATGCGTACACGTACCTGGGGATTTATGGGCAGAATGAGTATGGGCTGAGGGCGAGTATCTATGGGAGTAAGGAGATTCTGGCGGGGGTTTGAGCGGTGGGATATGGAATCGTGATGGTCAGACGTCAGGGGTTGAGGCCACAACGGTTGTGGGACACCCAGAGACAAGCGTCAGGTTTATTTTGGCCATGCTGCGAGCTTCTGAGTGAACGTGGCCTCGTTCGGATGTAACGAGCAGCGTAGTGAATGTCTTGGTACTGAGCTTTGGCGGTCCGCAGACCGCAATTCGCGTCGGTTCCATCACCAAGCCGTGGTGGTCGTCCCGCTCCTCCCACCAGATCACTTACAACGCCATCCTGTCGCCAAGTCTGCTGCTCATCGAAGGGTGTCCAGTCCACAACACCAAAAAAGAGCATCGCCCTCACAACACATCCCTTCCATCTAGCACCAACACAGGAGCATCTCCCCAGGAAACAAGTCTGGGCCGCCACACCCCCAAAAAGGCGGCACCTCCCCTCCCATCCGTCTCACGGGGCCACCCGGGGATTGAACCCGGGACCTCTCGCAGAACAGTACTCAGGAGTGAACCCTAAGCGAGAATCATACCACTAGACCAGCGGCCCTTTGAAAGGATGGGAGGGGGGGGGTGTCAAGGGGGCCACCCGGGGATTGAACCCGGGACCTCTCGCAGAAACAAGTGCTCAGGAGTTTGAACCCTAAGCGAGAATCATACCACTAGACCAGCGGCCCTTGCTTGACTTGGATGACGGGGGCGGAGGTATGGGTGGTGATAAGAGGAGTCCGGGGGTTTCGTTGAGTCATTGTTGTGGGTGTTGGGTGTGGAGTCGGGCGAGGGCTTCGGACGGGTGGAGCTCGAGGGCTCAGGGTGAATTGATGCCAAGACACTGCTCTCGGCGAACAGCGTCCGACTCTCCTGTCCAACGTCCGAGGTGACTGAAACTTGGGAGAAAGAGACGGCTTAAAACGGAACCTGTCTCATCGAGCCGTTAGCCTTTTATCAACCAAAGCGAGCAAGCTCACTGGGAAATGTTTCCAGTGTCGGGTCCCCCAACGGGCCCCCAAGCCCGTCCCGGCCCCACCCTTCCCGGCGGATCGAGCCGGCGGCAGGGTCCCAGACCCTGAACACCGCCACCTCCACAACAAGAGGGCCGAGACCTCGACTCCACTCAACCATCCCCAAAACCCCAGAGCGTCAGTGGTTTAGTGGTAAAATCCATCGTTGCCATCGATGGGCCCCGCGTTCGATTCGCGGCTGACGCATTTTGCTCCTTTTTGCTTCAGCCATCGTCTCGGAGTGACCTTCTTGTGCGCTGAATGTGTGGTGGGAGGTTGACAAAGACGGCGGCACAGTTGGTGACCACGCGGCCGGGGAAGGGTGGATGTGCGGCTGTGTACGGGTTCCGTACCCCCACCGCATCTTGATCGGGGACTTGGACTCGGTTCTGTCCTGACCCAGGGGGGTTGAGCCCAGACGGCAGTCGTGGCGACAACACTGAGCTCTGATGGCAGCCTGAGACCGATAGAAGCTGGCCCTTTGATAAGCTGGGAAGGACCAGAAGTGAGCGAGGATCTGCTTGAGGTCGTTGCAAAGCGACTTTTCTCGGCGCACAAAAATGTCGGGGCGCAGGACGCGACGTTATCGACAGTCGGAAATATTGGCGACAGCCGCTAGCCATCAAAACATCAGACATCGCGTTTTGGGGTTTCGCGCAGAATTGGATGTCAACAATGTGCCCGTGGCTTCTACCAAGGAGGTGGTTGTTGGGGGAAGCGAGGTGGCGGGACGGCGGTCGGCGGGGTTGTGGGTCCGGCGCAAGTGTCACTGCAGTGGATCCGGCGCTAACGTTAGTGGCACTGCAGTGGGTCCGGCCCTGGAATCGCCCTCCAAGCCAAAACCTAAAAGGAACCTCCATCGACTAGGTAAGCAACTTCGAGATTGAAACAAGCGTTCACAGCTGCATTTGCCGGTGATGAAGTGCATGTAATGTGGTGCGCCTGTACCATGTTGCAGTACATGTCCATGTTTTTGTGAGTGAGTAAGCACCTCACCTCGGACCCCTTTCTGAGTTTCCGAGAGGACCGAGACAAACGCAGCTACGCTGATAAATGGCCGCACTGCAACCGTCCGGGCCCCGCGACCGATTCCGGCCTGTCAACCCACTTCCGCCCTTCACACTCAAAAGCCTCGCCCCCATCAGCAACTCCCTCAAGAACGGCCCAAAAATGGCCTTCAACGAAGTCTTCCAATACTCCATCGTCTCCGCGTTGATGGACGGCGTCGCCTCGCACGGCACGCCCATCGCGCGCATCCTCGAGCATGGCGACCACGGCCTGGGCACCTTTCGAAACATGAACGGCGAGATGATTGTGCTCGACGGCGATGTCTACCAGATGAAAGCCGACGGGTCGGTCGTGCACATCAACCCGGCCGAGACCGTCACGCCCTTTGCCACCGTCACGCGCTTCCGGCCCACCACCACGACGAGGGCCACGGTCATCGGCAAGGCCGGGTTGGAGGAGCTGCTGACGGGGTTGTTTCCAAAGGCGCGGAATCACTTCTTGGTGGTTAGGATGGATGGGGTGTTTCACAAGGTCAACGTCCGGACCGCCGGCGGACAGACGACGCCGCGGGAGGGGATGGTGGATGTGTGCTCGCGGCAGACGACGCACACATTCGAGGGTGTCAAAGGCACCATCGTCGGGTTCAGATGTCCGCAGTATGTGATGGGCGTCAACGTCGCTGGGGACCACTTCCACTTCATCGCCGAGGACAGGCAGCGGGGTGGGCACATCCTGGCTTTCGAGACGGAAGGGGACGTGGACATTTCGGCCGCACAGATGTCCAAGTTCCGCTTGGAGCTGCCGACGGAGGATGACGAGTTCAATGAGGCCGAGCTGAAGTTGCAGGCCCAAGGTATCAAGGCGGTGGCGGGCTGACTGTGGTGGGCTGAATGGGGTAGGCATTGATGCCGCATTCTTGGAAATATTATTAATATCATAAAGGTTAACATACTGATGCCTTTTCCCGCTGCCTGTAACTGTTGGTCCAACAACAACACAAGCCCCCACCTACATGTAGTATGGCCAGAGCACAAGAGGTCGGGAGTTCGAGTAATTAGGTAAGGTACTTATCAAATGCAGGATGAAGAACAAGAGTGGTAGCGACGTAACCAGGCGGGCTTTTATTTCGAACCATAGATGCCATCACACCATACGCTATCCTATCTACCCAAACGAGCGACTTGTTCCCTTCCTTCAACGACCAGCGTGAGGGAAGCGGGTGGGGTCAACAAAACTACCCGCCTAAGAAGAGGGAAACAGGACAGTTGCCTCGAAAAGAGACCGAATCCCAACCAAGCCTGAGCTGCGCCTGCGCTGCGTGGGCCCGCTTTCAGTTCCAGACTGATTCGCGCTCAACCCGCGAAACCGGTTGCGAGGAGAGGGAGCGGGGTCGGGATCGGGGGCCAACCCTACCACGTATTGAATTGGATCATGCAGTGGTCGCGGGTTGGGTTGGTCTGTTGGCGTGGACGGTCAAGATCGGGCACCTGCACCGTGCAATAATGGTGTCCGTATTGCGTACCGTCGGCAAGCAGGCCATAAGCATCTTGTAGTTGCTGTTCAGTATCATGAAGATAGCCAGGCCGCCCTTCGCCTCTGGTGTCCGCGTCATGGAGTCCCAGCAGATAGTCGATCCACTCTTCCGTGGCAGTGTAGTTCCGGAGAGCCTCGTCGTATGCGTTCTCGAGTCGGCGCGTCCTCGCAGTCTGGCTCTCCTTGGATTTATTCGACGAAGAGTCCTTGCTCTTTCCCTTGCCGCTCTTCTTGTTGTCTTTGTTTTCCTTGCGGCGGTCACCTCCGCTGCCCGACCCGCCGCTCCGCCCAGTCAACGTAAACATGGCGATCTGGCAAGAACGAGCGAGAGAGGTGTAGGTGTGTGTCACGGGTGTGTGGCAATGCCGGACTGGAAAAGCGGAACGTGGCCCGGGTGTTGGGGTGGGTCAAAAGTTTGAAAAGATAGACAAAACAGGACGCAGGGATGCGGGGATGAGGAGGTGTGGCCCCAAGAAGTCAACCATGGTTCTGCACGCAGCCGCCGGGCAAAAGCTGACCGTCGTGGGATTCGACGTCGAGAAGTTGAAGCCCAAGTACCGGGTTCCGTTCGGGTTCATCAAAGCTGCAACCGCTTGTTCACTCTTGCAGGCCTCGATTGCCGCCGTTTTGCCTGAGGCCGGGTTCCTGACGGCGGTCTTCTCCCCCAGGTGGTCGATGGGCAAATGAGCCTTCAGAGTGGGCCCGAAGTAGTCAACGGCCTGAGGGAGGCGTTTCAGCTCCCGGAGGCCCGAACCAGCAGGCATGTCGAGGCGTAGGTTGGTCCTACAGGACATGTTGACCGACAGGTTGTAGGGGCCTCTCTTGTTCTTGGGATCCCAATGGAAATTGATGAATCTCCAGACGGAGTTGAGATTGCGACGCCATGCGTGCTCGTGCTCGGCGGTGTGAAGCGTAGGTGAAATCAACTTCACGCGGTCTGTTTGACATCAAGTGAGTGGTTAGCAACTTGACAAGACGCCTGCCTTGCTGGTACCAAAATCAAGTGCCCCAAGCTTTAACCCCCCCCACCCCCCTTCCCCCCTCCAGGTTTGCAACGTACCAGTTTGGGGGACATGACGGAGAGACCACGAGTACCCGGAGGCCGGAGCTGTCGTGCTCATTTTGGTCGCACGGGCCTGTTTGTCGAGACTGTTATTAAAGTCGGCCGCCATTTGTCCTGCGAGGGCTGCCGTGTCCTTTCGCGGCTGGCCGTTTTGCGTCTGTGTGAGGACACAGTCTGTGTCAAAAACAAGGCCAACAACGACACCGCCGGTCAGGGCCTTCACTGAGTTAGCTGAAGCATTGGTCGTTTGTCTCACTGCGGCGACCGGCAGCTGAACGGCGGGACGGGCGGCAGTCGGTCCTGGAGGAAGGGAGTGTTAGCGGTCTCCACGTTTCACTCGCATGAGCAGGGTCATTATTAGAAGATATTCGTGACTTGCCAGGACGCGGGGCAGTAGGTGTGGTGGTCGTCGGGGTTCGGGCAGCAACCGGAGCCCGAGCGGCCAGGGCATTACGGCCAGCGGGGGTGGTAGGAGTAGTAGGGGTAGGGGCAGTGCGGCCGCCACCAGTGGTTGAAGTTTGCAAGTTCCGCGTAGCCAGTTTCGGGGGCCCCTGTCCCTGATTCGAAGGGGGGGTGCGGGACGGACGAGTGGCAGAACTCATGTCAATCGTGGGGAGTGACACGGTGTGTTGAGTGCGGACGGACGGGTGGGTGGTTGCGAGGTGGGCTTGCGAGCGCACAGAAAATGGGTGACAGGACGGGACGGGCGAGTATATCAAGGACGGAGAGTATGGGGAGGTGAGGGCGCAAGCAGGCGGGTAGGCAGTCGGTTCAGCTGATGATGGTGATGATGTCTGGTGGTCCGGTTCAGCTGGGAGAGCCCTGGACACGCGGCTCTCGGTCTTCTTATAATTCCATCCATCCCGCCACTTGTATGCTGGACACGGCGGACAGGTTTTGGTTGGCGTTGGGTCGGTGTGATGGGCACGGATGGCCGAAACATGGCCCGGGACGCTGCTCTCGACACTGCCAGTGTCACGTCTAAAAATAAAAATAGAAACCTGGTCGAGGTCGAGGCGACGCTGCCCGACATGAGACGTGATGCCTCCAGAGAATCAGCCCCAACGGGCCA